AAAAAAAAAAAAAAAAAAAAAAAAAAAAAAAGAAAGGTTAAAAACAGGATTTTTCAGGTTTCTTCCAAGTTGGCCAATCTTTCCCATCAAGGGGGCACAAAAGTGAAGCTCAGCAGATTCAGCCCCCATGCCATTCTCTCGAGAACTTGACTGGAAACTAGTTCCCCTTCCCCAAATGTCCAAGTCAGGTTCTAGCAACCGGCTTGGTTAGGGGTCCTGGTGGGAAAAGAAGACCCACCTCCCGCTGTGACCCGATCGTGGGTCCTTCCCAACACCACATGGGGAGGGGTGGCGAGCTCCGAGGGGCCCCTGGGGATCCAGGACGAGAGGAGCTTGGCTGCAGAACAGACCCTGAGGGACCCAGGGACCCAGGCGGCCCCGCTCTATCACCTCCCAGTGCAGGTCAGCCCTGTGGACGCGCGGCTCATGGTGTTTGACAAGACAGAGGAGACGTGGCGGCTGCTGTGCTCCTCACGCTCCAACGCCAGGGTGGCAGGTCTCAGCTGCGAGGAGATGGGCTTCCTCAGGTACCAGGGCGCCCCTTGCCGGGAGAGAGGAGTTACGGGAGAGTGGCCCGGGAGCAGGCCTGACCGCTGCCCTGTCCAGGGCCGTGGCCCACTCAGAGCTGGACGTGTGGACAGCAGGCACCAATGGCACATCGGGCTTCTACTGTGTGGACGAGGGCAGGTTGCCCCAGGCCCGGAGGCTGCTTGAGGTCATCTCTGTGTGGTGAGCGGGCAGCGGTGGGTAGGGGCCTCATCACCCAGTCCCTGCACCCACACCCACGTCCCTCCTTTCCCTGTGCTCCGCCCTCATGGGTCTCCATATTTTGTCTCTCTGTGTCTCCATCCCTGTCTGTCACAGCGACTGTCCCAGAGGTCGATTTTTGGCTACCGTCTGCCAAGGTGAGATCCTGGAACTCAGAAACTGTTCCCTTAGATGCCTCAGGGGAACTGTGGCCCCTCAGACTCTTCCCCAGGGGAGGGCTGTGTCTCCATAGGTGCCCTAAGCATGGGACCTTGGACTCCCAGGGCAGAACTGTTTCCCCTCTGGCCCTTCTCCCACAGACTGTGGCCGCAGGAAGCTACCCGTAGACCGAATCGTGGGAGGCCAGGACACCAGCTTGGGCAGGTGGCCGTGGCAAGTCAGCCTGCGCTACGATGGAGCCCACCTGTGTGGAGGGTCCCTGCTCTCGGGGGACTGGGTGTTGACGGCTGCCCACTGCTTCCCGGAGTGAGTGCCCAGGTGGGAGAGGCAGTGCCTCGGGCTGGAGGGCGCGCGCCAGCAGGCCGCCAGCCTCCCTCCTGTTCCCTGGCAGGCGGAACCGCATCCTATCCCGCTGGCGAGTGTTTGCCGGAGCTGTGGCCCAGGCCTCGCCCCAGGGTATGCAGCTAGGGGTGCAGGCTGTGGTCTACCATGGAGGCTATCTTCCCTTCCGGGACCCCACCAGCGAGGAGAACAGCAACGATATTGCCCTGGTCCACCTCTCCAACCCTCTGCCCCTCACGGGTGAGTCTGGGGACCAAGCCTCGCCTTGGGGACCCCAGAGACAGAGGAGAAAGGAGCGGCCAGGGTCGTAGATTAAATTGATCATTCAGGTATCCAGGTAGCAAGGGACTAATCCTTCAGGGACACAAACCAGACATTCACGGAAGGGTAAGTGCGGGCACTTTGGAAAATGCTGGAAATTTCTGAAAAAGTTAAAGTTTACCATTTGACCCAACAGTTCCACTCCTAGGGTATCTATCTGCTCAAGAGACATGAGATACATGTCAATACAGACACTTGTACCCGGATGTTCATGACAGCTCTATTCACACTGGCCCCATATGCCGGCTACTCAAATGTACATTATCTGACAAGTGGATAAACACATGTGGTATCTTCGTACCATGGACTAACATTTGTCCATAAAAAGGGGGAAGAAGAACTGATTCACTCTAGAACACAGATGAACCTTGGCCCAACTTAGCTGCACCTTCTGGCTCTGCCTTCGACTTATTATGAACTTTAGCCAAGTGGCTTGACCTCGGTTCCCTCCTCTGTACAATGGGGTGATAGATGCCCCAACCTGCCAGGACTGACGGAGGTTAAAGGAAGTGGTGCAGAAAAGCGTAGCACATGGGCATCTCCTGGGAGATGGCAGCTCTACTGTGGATGTTATAAAGGGACAGAGGAAGGGGACATGCTGGGGTATGTGGGGTGGCTGGACGGGCAGGTTTGCACCAGATGGGCAGGCCAGCAGGGGCTGGACTCTGGTCTCGCTTACAGAGTACATTCAGCCCGTGTGCCTCCCGGCGGCCGGCCAGGCCCTGGTGGATGGCAAGATCTGTACAGTGACCGGCTGGGGCAACACGCAGTACTATGGTGAGTCCTGTGTACCAGCTCTGGCACCTCCGTGACGGTGACTCTGAGCTGGGTGGGGGAAGGGCAGTCCAGTGGGGCAGTTGCAACACAACTCTGGGGTGTAGCCACCCTGAGGGGTGTGGGGTGGGCACCAGGAGGGAAGGGGATATGCCTGCTCCCCGAATTCAGCCAGCCTTGTCCACACATCCCAGGCCAGCAGGCTGCCGTGCTCCAGGAGGCCCGAGTCCCCATCATCAGCAACAACGTCTGTAATAGCCCCGACTTCTATGGGAACCAGATCAAGCCCAAGATGTTCTGCGCCGGCTACCCTGAAGGTGGGGTCGACGCCTGCCAGGTGAGGGACTGTGGGGCAGCTCCCAGCTTACCACACCCTGGGGCTACCTGTCTCAGGGCCAGTGGACCTCCTGGCTCCATCCTGAGCTCTAGCCGGGCTTCCCTCCCCTCCCAGGGCGACAGTGGTGGTCCCTTTGTGTGTGAGGACAGCATCTCTCGGACGTCACGTTGGCGGCTCTGCGGCATTGTGAGCTGGGGCACTGGCTGTGCCTTGGCCCAGAAGCCGGGTGTCTACACCAAAGTCAGTGACTTCCGGGAGTGGATCTTCCAAGCCATAAAGGTGAGATGAGCCCAGGTGAGGGAGCTGGGGTGGGAATGTGTGGGACTCTGATGAGGGGGCAGAGGGGGCAGATGTTTTTTGGAAACTCAGGCCCAGAAGAGGGCGCCCTAGGGAACGGATGGATTTCCATGGGCTTCTGGGGAAGGGAGACTAGTTGTGGGACTTTGGGGGTGCCTCACAGACCCCGAAAGCCCCTAGCTGTCTTTCCCCCAGACTCACTCCGAAGCCAGCGGCATGGTGACTCAGCTCTGACCTGTGGCGTTTCCTTGCTGCACCTGCCCCCAGGGCTGGAGTTGATCTAGGTGGCTCCATCCTCACATGGTAGGCTCCATGCTGGGCCTAGGATGGGACATTTTTCTTCTTGGGCCCAGTCCACAGGCCCAACGATAGCCTCCTCTCAGGTCCTGACTTCCATAGTGGCCGGCCCACTCAGCCCTGGGACCACCCACGCCTCACCCTCCCACCCCATGTAAATATTGCTCTGCCCCCTGGGGACTCTAGTCTGGGGGCCCCTGATGACAGGATGCTCTTTAAATAATAAAAAATAGTTTTGATTAATGTTTTCTCTGAGTTTGTACATGCATGAAGCAATTTTTGGAAAGAGGAAAGAGAGGAATTTGGAGCTGGCACAGATCAGGCAGGAAGTATGACTCCCTAATTCCAACTGACTGAAACAAAAGGATGGTTCACATAAATGGAAGTACTCTAGAGCATTCTGGCTTCAGGTACTGCTGGATCCAGCTGCTCTCAATTCTCCTTAAGTGTGTATCAGCTTCATTTCCAAGTAGGCTCCTCTCTAAACAGAGCTGTACCCCACCTGCATGTAAACTCCAGGCTTCCATGCCACAGACCAGCTTTGCAGCTCTAGTGGAAGAGAAATGCTTCTTTCTTTATAGCTCCAGCAAAATTAGTCCCAATTACCCCAAGCTTTCATTTGACAGGTTTTGGGTCATGTGCCCAACTCAGCAAATCAGTGCGCAGCTGATGTATAGCATAAGGGTGGGATCTAGGCCTTCAAGAATCAGACAAGCTGAGTGTGGGAGATTCCCCAGAGGAAAATGAGGGGCTGTTTCCAGGAGAACTTGACGTCAATGCTCAGTGAGCAGAAACAGACATCCATCTTGGGCCAATATAGAAAACAGCCCTGAGCCAGGCATGGTGGTGCAGGCCTGTAATCCCAGCACTCTAGGAGGCTGAGGCAGGAGAATCATAAATTTGAGCCCAGCCTAGGAAACTTAGTGCATTAACAAGATCCTGTCTAAAAAGAAAAGGAAAAAAAAAAAAAAAAAAAAAA